TGCTTGCGATAGGGAAGAGAAATGAGGGTCAGCAGCAGTTGAGACCATCCTCTCAACCAACCAAAGCGTTCTTCATTGATGCACTCAAATTCGCCCCTGCGTGCTATACCTTGTGACTTTAGATGTGAGCAACTGACGCGACAACTCAATCGCTCTCGGAACGGAGTCTTTCAGTATAAGCTTTGGTTCGTAATGCGGCCTCTATTGCCGTTTCATTGGTGACATCTTCTGAGTGTCACTTAAACAGAAGTCTGATGCACCCTACGAGGACCAAGTTGTGTGTGGCCCGCGTAGATGGACTATTTAGCACTGTCCACTTTCATTCTCCTTAAACTTATCATAGCAGCAAGTTCTGGTGTCAGAATAATGTGTGCGGTAGTTTCCGTGGAAGTCCCGCATCCCTATAAACCACGTCACGCACACTTTACCAGCCATTCAGCCATCACGTTGTAGAACAAGCGGTGCTCGACGACATTGGCCATAGTTGAACTATCCTGTGCGGTAATGAAAATACCCCGCTTATTTAACATAGGCTGGCTTACGATAAATCTCAGGAAGGATGGCTATTTCCGTTTCTTTACCCTAAAATTAACCCCAACATAAAACGAAACCATGGCCCTAGTTTTAACGCTTAACTCCCCTTAAACAGAAACCCTACAGTTAACACGTAACCTTATCATAAGGTTTGCAATAAACCCAACTCTGACATTAACTCAATCTTAAATCCTTACTGTAATTCTGTCGCCGGCGTTTGGCACAAAACCACGTAAATTGCGGGTTTTACCCGTTCCCGGGCCCTGCTTGGGCGGCCAAACAAATCCTCCTTACCCAGAAAAATTGCATCGCTTGTATTGCGAGTTTAAAATGGACAGATATCTCCTTTTGATAGAAGAGATAGATAGAAGAGATTCTTCGGGAAGTAGGTACAAACTTTATTGTAAATTTTTGACACTGGCACATCAGGTCGTCTTCGGACGCGAAGGAATTGTGTGAAGAGCAGTCCACATTGTCAAAAAATCGATAATGCTGCGTCATCCGTGATCAATAGCATTTTTTGGTGGTTGGCCCTTTTCCAGGCTTTTTTTAAGATTGGTGTACATTGAATCAACTGAACGTGTCTGTTGATGCACGACAATCGATGAGTGCGTAGCCGCCAATGACAAAGGTTTTGCTCAAGGGGATACGCATAGCTGAAGTTGTGTGAACTCTAATTCGCCATAAGTCTTACTTAATTTAATGATAAAAGTAAACCTAACCATTATCCTACGCTAGGTTTAAATGTAACATCTAAAATAAACCTAACCTTAGCGCAAAGGCTCCTTTTTTGCGGATGGTTCCTCCTCTATTGTCTTTTGTAGGGAGGTAGAGTTGGGGTATAAAAGTCATTCTCATCCAAGGTATTAGTGGGTTTTTCCTTACCCCTACTTAAACATGTCTACGGGTTTTCGTGCTCGACAGATGCCTCGTTTTTTTGCTGTTCATACAACTTCCTAATGCCGGATGGAAAACGCATAGGAGTGAAGGATAAATACGCTTTTCAGTTCACGTTAAACGTCTTTCCCCCTGTTTACTTCCTTGCTCTCGCAGACAAAGATCTACTTGATGGACAGCCACATTGGTTCAAACTCCACGATCTGCGGGATATCGTGGTGCCCGGTTATCGACAGCCAGGAACCAGAACGGTGCCACCACCCACCACCCAATCTGAGGGTGTAAAGGCGATCAAGGTGCGCTTGCCTTAACGAAACCTGTATCACTTGCCTTGACATGGACTTTCGCAGGTTGTCAAGATTTGTCTAATATTTTATCTTTTTACCAGCGAATGAGCCAACTCTTTTGAAATTAGCCATCCATGTGCGCGGCTCAGACCATTACCCATGATTAAGAATACTCGACATAAACCGAAACTTCAGGAAAATAAAATTCCTTTCCCAGTGACTGCATCCTCCTCTTCTGAACAACAAGATGTCTTATTTTGAATTCACTTCTTTTCGCCGCCCGTAAAAACCACAAATGTTATAAAGTTATTAGTTAATTAGTTTGCAAATTTCCCACAAATGTTCGATGTCCTTATGAATTGAAATGTATTTTATGGAAAATCTAAGCAAAAAGTAGTCTTTATTATTTTCATTGGGTAGAGCATCACGTCTTTTTAGGCTTTTTAACACGAAGAAATAGGGTATTTTAGTTATAAAAAGATTTGATAATCCCCGACAACTTTTGAACGCTAACTTCGGCAGCACTTCAGTTGAGGTTTTACGAACTGCGTACCGTAATTTATGTGAAGTAAAATTTTTTACATCGTTTCATGGTTTTTAAAAGACAGCACATAGGGCTCAGAAGATTTACTAATTTATTTAGACCGTTATTAGGCGGGTTTTGACGGCCAACGTGGAATTCGAACCCCGCCAGCAAGTGAAGCCTTTACTATAGCCAATACTCTAGCCAACTGAGCTATCAAGTCTTCACCGGGAGCCGTGATTTGGGCCCTCGTAGATCAGGGTTTTAAGAAGACACCAGATTAGCCTCAGAAATTTTTCCAATGTATGTTGACCATGTTGTATACTCTGCAAGTAAAATTTATTATCACGGGACACGAAGTTGCGTTTGCTTTTGTTATCAGTGATTCTTGCTACATTCTTTAAGGGCACGGGGATTGGACAGCCTTTAGTCATGACGAATTTACTACTCATGATCAGGTGTCTTACCATAATTGTACTATATTGCGTAACTTAATTGCCACGAACTGTTTTAATAAAGTCGTCTTAGCGAAAGTGAAAATGGAATCCTGGTTCATTTTTTCGGGATGCCATTTTGCGGTTTCCTGATTGGATAACAGTGCAGGTGCTTTGAAAGCTAACTTTGTCCAGACCCATTTGCGGCAACAGTAGCTTATGAAGGCCCACTCATTTATCCCTACTTCCTGCATGTTTTCCTGAGAAAACGGTGGTTATAGGGTTTTGGGGGTGGGGAATCAGGCCACACAAGTGAATATACTTTGACAAATGTTAAATGCACTTTAATTTTACTGTATGTAGAAGTGTTGTTGATCTATATCTGTAGATTTTCCTAATCTGTAGTATCGTTTAACTTATTGCGGAAAAACCTGATTATCAAATTGCAGGTTTGTTGAAGTTCCCGAAAAATTGAAATAGTGGTTAGGAGGTCGTCTACTTCAACTTATCTGACGTCCAACTTACCATTCTGGAGTAAGATTAGTAAAGTCCGCGTCGCGAAGCGCCGCGCACACCTTCAATTT